GTGGGTGGGGGGGGTGCAGTGGTTGTAGCAGTGATGTTAAGAGCGAAAGACATGAATAAAGACCTTGATGAACAAGAAGAAGAAGGAAGAGAATGAAGACCTTGATGAACAAGAAGAAGAAAGAGGAGAATGAAGACCTTGATGAACAAGAAGAAGAAGGAGGAGAATGAAGACCTTGATGAACAACAAGAAGAAGGAGGAGAATGAAGACCTTGATGAACAACAAGAAGAAGGAGGAGAATGAAGACCTTGATGAACAACAAGAAGGAGGAGAATGAAGACCTTGATGAACAACAAGAAGGAGGAGAATGAAGACCTTGATGAACAAGAAGAAGAAGGAGGAGAATGAAGACCTTGATGAACAAGAAGAAGAAGGAGGAGAATGAAGACCTCAACCAAAACTGAACCTGCAAGAAAATAATAATATATAGTCAGGTACATCCCATTTTCCCTAACCCAGGAAATTTCCAGTAAGGTGGAATTTCAGCTGAATGTTTAATAGAGGTTTGACGGCGCTCGTAACTGCATAAGGTCATATGAGCACCATCGGTAAGGTGGAATTTCAGCTGAATGTCCAATCCACTTCCTCCATGTGACAAATTTTAGTTTAGTTTCAGTACGAGTTTTAACCGGCTCTTGCAACACAATTACGCCATATAATATAAGTACCATAAATTAGAAGTTTTACAAGAGAGTAACACAAAAAAAGAAGGAGAAGAGCTATGGACGATAGATGTTCGATAGGAAAGAAGGAGCAAACCACAGCAGAGCACCCGCCAACTACCCACTATGTGACTAATTCCCAACAAAAAAGAGAATATCAGATGTCTGACCTGCCCATCCCGAGCGAAGCAGACAGAGTTGGACTGGGTGTACTTGAGAGCAATGCTGGCTACAATCAGATCTCGGACCGCACCCTCTGGTAGCTGAGGGGAGAAAAATAGGACAAGGTCAGTAATGAAGTGTTTGCCCAAGGCAGATTACAAACTTTTATATGATATATCTTATGTTGTCCTCAGCGACATAATTTAGTCACTTGTCGTTAAATGTGTCACGACATGGTGAAATCAGGCTCTCGTCAATTTTTTGGCATATGAGGTTTTTGGGTATAATCTGAAAGCTTGTTCATTTGTCTTAATTTCAATAAAAGAATTTTCCATCTACCTTCAAAAGAAATTAAAATATTTCACATAGAAAGAGATAGACTGGGAGACTGGGGGTGGGGGTCACCTGGTTTCAGAGGGTAAACCTAGCGAGAAAATGACTGCCAGTCTGGTGACTTCCAAAGCTTGAGAGTCCTTAAAAACTGCAAATTTGCATTTTAAGTGCCTTTAATCAACAGGGTGTTTCAAAAGTAAAATCCACACTGCAATGTGTTTTTAAGTAGACATTTAAGGTGTTAAGCCACACACAAAAAAAAAAATTAATTAAAAAATTATTTAAAAAAAAAACCAGTGGAATAAATGCCAGTTTCTTCAATTTCATGATTTTGACAGGCATCTCATTTCACCACGCTGCCTCACATATAACATTAATGCTTCTTTCAATACTGTACGGCCATTTCCTATTAATACACAAATTTTCTTTGTCTTGAGAGTCGTGGGTCAAGGCTGAAAGTGTAGATATACCACAGAGGATCGTAGTAGTCCTTGCTCAGTGACATTTTCGTGTAGACCTATGCTCTATGCATCAGCTTGATCAATCTCAAGGCAGAAACACAGACACAAAAAAAGTTTCAAAGCATTTTGGTTTGAAATAAAAGATGGTAACTTAAAAATATAAAGTAACAAACAAAACTCTACGACTTCTAGACATTTTTTTTTCTCCAGCTAGCAAAGAATAAAACAATCTGACATCCCGTGGAGACAAAGCTATGAACTGGTCTGACATCCCATGGAGACAAAGCTATGAACTGGTCTGACATCCCCCGCTTAGATAATTCACTCACTTGATTCCGTTTCGTGACCACGTTCTCAAAAAGTTTTTTGTCGATGACTGCGTCATTTCGCTTCTGTTCCATCTGCAAACCAAAGAGTGTGCGAGTCTCGAACTCTGGGGGCTCATAGCTTGGGTCCATCTGGGAAATACAGACCAAGACAGTGGGTCAGGTAGGTACGGTGGGATGGAAAGTATACAAGCAGCAAATCTCCTAAACAATAAACATTCAACTTCATAGTATCAGAAACTGTGAGCATTTCCAAGCACTTTCCTTTCTAGAAACCTACAAGCATGTGGAAGGCATCATGTACGGTAGAAACAGTCTTTGGTGGCCACCAATTATCAAAATGAAAAGCGGCGGTCTTACACAGAGTTATTTATGATGTAAAAATATACACAAGGGAGACAATGGGAAGTGGCAGTTATGTTCAGGAGACTGTTGCATACAGGTGGCCCTTAGAGCAGGTTCCACGGTATATGGACAAGAGATGATTTGGAACGATCTCAGGAGGCTTTGTCAAGTCACTTACACACTATCAAGCATGCCGACATACAGCATTTATCTAACCCCATATAATCTCTGAGGCTGTGAAGTTTACAGGAAACACAACAATCTTGCATTAAGACAAGACAGTAGCTCGAGAATTTGACTACTCGCCATGCAAAGCAGACTTAACCAGAGTCAGCTATTTCACTTGTGGCAATGACAATATAGAAAAAAATTATTAACCCCAAGTGAAATCATACACTTCACTTCCACAGGCAGCAGACAAATAATTTGCAGGGGGCTCTTGTGGCCTAGAGGTTAAAGGGTTGGCCTCTCATTCAAAGGTCCGGGGTTCGAATCCGGGTAGTGACCGAAAAATTGTCTTCTCTAAATTTGTCTCCTTTCACCCCCTTTCCTGCTCTCTAGCAATGTTCTGTCGTCTGCTTTTGTCTCCTCTTTCTGCCCCCACCCCCTCACCTCCTTTGCCCCCCTCCTCTGGGCTCCTGATTCTTTCTACAGCCTTTCTACTGCTACCCCTTGGCTTCTTCTTAGGAAAGATCTACACCTAGCCTTCACGGACAAGGGTGAAAAATCTCGGAGGGCCCGTGTGCAAGTTGCGCACGTCAAAGATCCCTGGTGGTCTAAAATCTATAAGAATAGGCTTCGGCCACCACCCGGGCAAAATTCAAAATTTCCTACCAACTGAAAAAGTTAAATGTGTCCCGCGCGCTCATATGACTTTACGCAGTTGCGAGCGCCGTAAAAACACTTACAAAAAAAATATTTTAAAATTCTAATTTGCTCAGAACGAATATCTCGAATCATTCACCACAAGCGGCGTCATACGAACGAGACAAGTAGCTCATCACGGCAATCTAACAATCACAGTTCTAACACCAGTGACTGGCACATACAACCTGACCCGTATCAGAAAATGGACAGATTTTAAAAAGACCGTAAAGACAATTTCTGACCGGACGTTCAGACAAAAGACCACCATAAATGCAGTAACTTCTGTTTCAGCACCTTGTATGCTGGAACAACTCCGTCCCCCGCGCAGACATTTCCTATGAACATACTGTGTTGTTTCTTTTTCGCAAATCTATGCGTGTTTCTACTCCCCGTCTACACGATATAGAAGATCATTCTGGAGGCAGGCTTCAGAACCTGCCTGTTAGGGCCAGCCTCGGCTGAAAGGGATACAACATTCCAGCAGAAATACTGAAAGTCATTAAAAAGTTCTTCCCATTCAGGAACCAAACTATGGTCTCCTGCAGACCAAAGAGAAGCGCTTGACTCCTAAACTACAGACGCTGGTAAAAAACATATTCTGTGCATAATGAACCATCCCTTGATGATACTATACAAAAGAAACAGCATTTTTTATTCTTGAAACAGTAGTAAAACAGAACCCCCCCCCCCCCCATCCCTTCCCATAAACAAAAATAAAGTTTTCAAAAATATGAATAAATAAAAACAAATGGACAAAACAACTAAAACCTCTCAAAATCTGTAGGAAAAACTTGACAATTCCATCTCTACCAAATCCTAGAGTACCTGCAGCACACAATAGCCGCCATTTTTCTTTTTCTTCAAAATCTCCAACGCCGCAGCTTCGTAGCCAGGGGCAATAACTCCATCCGAGACCTCCCTGGAGATGATTTTGGCCGTGGGCACATCACATGGATCTGACAGCGCGATGAAATCTCCGAAGGACGACATTCTGTCCGCCCCTGTAACGACAGGCAATTAAATCTTGACTACAGGTCAGGGAGGAGCAAAAGGATCATGATAAAATCACAATAATAATAACACAAAAAGACAACCACAAATCTCACACACGGAACTGTAGGATGTAACTGGTGAGTGTAAGGCCCTTTCAGCACCTATCAGTATATATAAGGTATAAGGTGACTATGAAGATTTTTTTTTTTTATAGTAGAGGGTTTTACGGCGCTCGCAACTGCATAAGGTCATATGAGCGCCAAGGGGTGGGTGTCAACAGAGAAGTCTTTACAGGGAATCAGACTTCGACTGCTCAGCTCTCTAGCTTCAACAGCACAAGGTCTGCTTCGACTGTCAAGGCATCCCGGAAATAGCAGGTCACAAGAGAGTGACAAACATACAAAAGAAGTAGAGGAAAATGACAATAGTAAGGATCAGGAAAGAAAAAGCAGCAGTTCCCTGTTGTAGATCAGGCACAGTTATGAGCATGACATGAGTCTGCCCATTTACAATTCTACTGTGCTTGAACGACATATGTCCCGTCTTTGGGAATGGCCTAAAGACACTACAGTCAGTGGCACTGCCCCGGGGGGTCACTACAGTCAGTGGCACTGCCCCGGGGGGTCACTAGTCAGTGGCATTGCCCCGGGGGGTCACTACAGTCAGTGGCACTGCCCCGGGGGGTTACTACAGTCAGTGGCACTGCCCCGGGGGGGGGTGACTATGATGCTTCAACAAGAAAGAAAGCACAAATCCAAGAAATCACTAGCAAGTGAGAGCAGTGTCAAGAAAACTGAGAACTGCCATTTGGACCTCAATATTTTTCTCCAACTATTTTTTATTTAACAGCTGTTTCAATAACAGGACAGCATCTGGTTTGTATCTCATGTTCTGTTTCATTTAGAAGCTGATTTCATACGACCAGTTCCCATATACGTACCAGATGTACAAAAGTTCTGGGATGACCTATACGTAAATTTGAAGATGACACTTGATTATCTAAGCCAGCCTTGCAGAGGTATGAACAATTATATCATAAGATCGAATAAAGTGTCAAAGAATGACACAAGTTGTATATGTATATATATATCCTTTTCTAGTTAGGTACCATGTGAAACCAAAACGGGGGCTCTCGTGGCCTAGAGGTTAAGGTGTTGGCCTCTCATTCAAAGGTCCCGGGTTCGATTCCGGGTAGTGACCAAAAAATTTTCTTCTCTAAAATTGTCTCCTTTCACATCCTTTCCTGCTCTCTAACAATGTTCTGTTGTCTGCTTTCATTTCCACTTTCTGCCCCCACCCCCTCACCTCCTTTGCCCCCTCCTCTGGGCTCCTGACTCTTTCTGCAGCCTTTCTACTGCTACTCCTTGGCTCCTCCTAACTGCTGTCTTTCTGCCACACCCCTGATCTTCTGGTAGGAAAGATCTACACCTAGCCTTCTCGGACAAGGGCGAAAAATCTCGGAGGGCCCGTGTGCAAGTTGCGCACGTTAAAGATCCCTTGATGGTCTAAAATCGATAAGAGTAGGCTTAGGCCGCCACCCGGGCAAAAATTCAAAATTTCCTATCAACGAAAAAGTATTAGGTGTGTCTCGCGCGCTCATATGACCTTATACAGTTGCGAGCGCCGTAAAACCCTATACTAAACAAACAAACAAACAAACAAACGAAACCAAAACAAAACACGCGCAGAAATGTACAGCAAAAGTATGGTAACTAAAAGAAATCAGCATTTACAAAGACTCTACTTTCCATTTTTGATGTCACTTCTGGCGCTCATATGACCTTATGCAGTTGCGAGCGCTGTAAAACCTCTATACCAAAACTAAACCCCCACACAGCTGAGCTTGTTTACCCACGGCTACAGTCTCATGTCTTACTGTTAATGGACTCATGGTCTAGGTTTGGGGAAATTGTACTAACATATATACATATATATACATACACCTTGGTGTTGATTTTATAAGAACATCTTGAATTAGAGACATAGATTCAACTTTTGATTGAGGGAATTATTTTTAGGATCAAACGACCAAGATAAAATAGGGATGGGAGCATGGACAAAGTAAAAGGCTATGGTGTGACAGCGGTGCTATCGGCTGACCATCAGAAAGACACATTTATCCGACATCGTTCTGATGTTGGGTGATCATCGGTTTCCGATTGTGTGTGGGAACCCGACATCGTCCTGATGGTGGGTTGTCGTCGGAAACCGATGTTAAGTCAGTATCCATCATTGCGCAGATGGTGGGTTGTCATCGGAAACCGATGGTAAGTC